CCAACCATTGATAGAATCAAATGATTTTTAATTTGGTGAAGGTGATGGTTTCATTAATTTACACTCTGACCATCATACAGGGACAAAACAGAGTTTTGCTTTTGTTTTTCCTTATTGTTTGTGACAGGTCGAATCGACATATAATATATCCAATATAAACAATAAGACAGTACAGCAAAATTGTAGAGAAACTAATGGATTAGGTTCATGATAGAGAGAGGATGTTCATTTAATTATTAAAATAATTATTTAGGACTAGTTTGAAATTCAAAATGAGTTCTCTTACATTTTTCATGTTGTGTGATTTTATATGATTAATTAATTGTTCGATGAGAGTCCGAAAATAATTGAAAAATAATTATTATTAGAAGGTGGGTTTAAGTTTAATTCAACCTCACAAAATCGGTTTGTAAGGTAGGGTTTACACTTTATTTATATATTATAATTCGGTCTTATCTCTAGTCGAGCTCTAATACCATATTAGAAGGTGTTCTAATAAGTATCTTTTTGCCTTTTTACTTGACACAATCTAATTTAGTAGAACGATATATGGATATAATATCTTAATGTAAAAAAAATACAAAGGAGAGAAAATAAAGAAAGTAAAGTGAAAAAATTATATATAATAAATAATATGATATAATAAAAAATATTGTTAATTATGTTTTTAAACTCTAAATTATTATATGTTTTTAATTTTTTTTTCAAACTTTATTTTATTTAGGTTCATGTTCTTTAAAGAGTCAAGAATTTAGTCTTTTATGACAAATGTTGATGGTTATTTATGTGGCAAAAGAAGTGCTATGTTTCTAATTAGATTAAAATTGTTCAAGGTCGGTAAGATATACAGATAGTCCGATAAGATGCATGGAAAATTCTAGTAGTTCAGTAGAAAGTCCAGATAACGAATTTGTGTAACAAGTCTAGATAACTCCGTAAGGTATTTACCAAACTATTTAGACTACCCGCCAAGCTATCTAAGTTCTTCACACACCTTAACGACCTATTTGAACTTCTTACCGAACTATTTGAGTTCTCCATGCACCTTGCCAACCTACTTAGACTTTCCACCAAGCTATCTAAGTTTTTCATGCACCTTACCGACCTATTTGGACTTCCTACTGAGCTATCTGAGTTCTCTATACACTTTATGATCTGACTAAGCTATCTGAATATTTGGCTGACATTGAAACATAATACATATATCTTAAACAGGTTGGAAACGTGACACACCGTTTGCCACATAAGAAAAAAAAACTAAAGATATTGATTACGAAAGACTAAATTCATAACTTATCGTGACCTAAATTGAATAAAATTTGAAAGAAAGAAGAAAATAGAAAAAAATATAATGGTCTAGACACAAATATAATTAACCCTATTTTTTTTAAAGAAATAAATAGTAATTATATGAAAATAATGACATACAAAATAGTCAAATAAAATTAAATGTTGTAGTAAAATTTAAGCAATGTATTGATGAATGATATAATAACAATTAAAGAAAAGTAATAATAGTAATTATATGAAAATAGTGACGTACAAAATAGTCAAACAAAATTAAATATTAGTATGAAAAGTAAGCAATATATTTGGATTAAAGTTGTTATATACTTAGAGATAAATACAAGTCATATCAGACAAAACCATAACAATTTGTTTTTTGCAAAAAATAGACGAATGGTTTTCAATTTTTAATTTTTAGAGAAGTTTCATGTGTTGAAAATTTTTAATTGTTATTTTTTTTTTCATTCTTCACCTGTGTGTGTTCATTCATGGCTCTATCTAAAATAAACGATAAATTTTTTCTTCGGATAAATTTATTTTGAAAATAAATGATAGAGTTTAATTCTTCTTATTACAAGCATAAAAGAAATTTTCTGTGATAAGTATGATGATAAACATAACTTTAAATTTAATCATTGTTAAAACCATCAATTTTATTATACATGAAAATTTATAATTAAATTAAATTTTAAAAATATGTTATTACTTGCTTTATAATAAATATGTGGAATATTGGTTGAGGCAAGACTAATGAATTAATCATCAAAGAGAAAAAAAATTAAATAAAAGAACTATGTATTTAGTTTATGATTTTCTGTTTTGATTCCTTGAATTTTAAAAAATATATATTTTAGTTTGAAATTTTGAAAACATGCATTCTTATTTTCTAAATATTTAGCGAACTAAATGATTTTTTAAAAACACATTTTTAATATATAAAACTGTTTTAAATGCGTATTTTTTTAAAAAAAAATTGAAAAGATTAAATATTTAAAAAATTAGGGAATCAAAATAATATTTATTTCAAATTTAAGATAAATCAAACCTTAATATTCAAAGGGATAAAATAAACTCCAAAACATTTATGCATTTGGCAAAACTCATTATGCTGATCAATATGAAATTTATTGGTGAGACATCCATGCAAGCATTCAGGTGACAAGAGAAAAAAAAAAGTGTTTTTTCTTCTTCTTCCCTGTTGTAGTCATCATTGAAATGAATTCTCATAATTCGTTTTTCCTGGACTATTTTCTCACCATTAATGTCAATTTGACTTCCTGCATGGCTTAGTACAAACCAAATGTCTCACTAGTATTGGCTTGTTTAAGACTTCTAATAAAGAGAAAATGCTTCTTTGGGCTGAAAGAGAATTTCAGTGCCAACCTAGAACTGGTGATCATCTGGGGAAGGTTACACTTGAATTTTCATATACTTTGTTCCAACAAAAGCATGAGAAATTTAAAATACAAAAAAAAAAAAAAACGAGAACATAAAAAAGAAAGTGAGTTTTGGCCATCAAATGTGATATTCTATGTTACCCCATAAGAGAAATAAAAATAAACAAAAATAAAAGTACCTTATGTGAAATAACATAAGCTCAAGGAGGTGTAATGGAAGAATCAAACTAATTTTCAATGGGCATCTACATAACCTAGGATCATCACATCACNATATTCAAAGGGATAAAATAAACTCCAAAACATTTATGCATTTGGCAAAACTCATTATGCTGATCAATATGAAATTTATTGGTGAGACATCCATGCATGCATTCAGGTGACAAGAGAAAAAAAAAAGTGTTTTTTCTTCTTCTTCCCTGTTGTAGTCATCATTGAAATGAATTCTCATAATTCGTTTTTCCTGGACTATTTTCTCACCATTAATGTCAATTTGACTTCCTGCATGGCTTAGTACAAACCAAATGTCTCACTAGTATTGGCTTGTTTAAGACTTCTAATAAAGAGAAAATGCTTCTTTGGGCTGAAAGAGAATTTCAGTGCCAACCTAGAACTGGTGATCATCTGGGGAAGGTTACACTTGAATTTTCATATACTTTGTTCCAACAAAAGCATGAGAAATTTAAAATACAAAAAAAAAAAAAAAACGAGAACATAAAAAAGAAAGTGAGTTTTGGCCATCAAATGTGATATTCTATGTTACCCCATAAGAGAAATAAAAATAAACAAAAATAAAAGTACCTTATGTGAAATAACATAAGCTCAAGGAGGTGTAATGGAAGAATCAAACTAATTTTCAATGGGCATCTACATAACCTAGGATCATCACATCACCATATGTGACTGAAAAATGAAATATCAAACTTATAAGGGTGAACCAAACCCAATGATTTCTGTTGAATTCGTTTCACTTTGAGATGCTTTCAAATTTTCAATGATCAAGATGTTGTAGTCGGTGTAACACTTTGGAATCATGAGTACAAAAAAGTTGACACGTTATCATAATTTAGGATACAGGCTGGACTTGATTTATCTTCACCAATCAATAAATAAATAATATTCAATTCTAGATATCTATTCCAAATTTAAGAAGGACAAATGAGGTGCTATGGCATATTGAACTTATTGAACACTCACATCAAACATCACCGACATCTAGAATTTCAACAAAATTTTAAATGTTAATAAATAGTGGAGTGTATGTTTGTATGACAAGTCTCATGTGTGTTTGTGAAGTTTTATTCAAAAAGAAAATACTAAAAAGGAAATATGAAGTTTTAGGCATTTGCTTTGCAATGAATTAAAAGGGTAAGCAACATTGCTGTTTGTATGATGATGTGCTTAATGCTTACCCGTGAATGCCAACTTTGGACTTTAATGTGACCAAAAAGATGTCTCAGAAGTCTCAACATAGACATGAATCACGAGGCCAAGTTTCAACTGAATCGCAAAATGCTCGAGATTTTTATTAAGAGCTATCACTACTAAGTAGTAACACCCGTGATCTCAGAGGCATGACCGTCAAAACCTAAAATTAGGGTGTCTCTTCCCAACACACACAATGGATCCCAAACAAATTGATATGAAAAAGTTTGATTTAATACCATTTTGGGTTTTCAATTTTTTCATATTTTTTGCTTTAAATATCTGAATAAATTTGGTAAACATTTTTTATTCCTATATTTCCTAGGGACTTGTCACATCAATTGCTAGTTTAACAACACATTTTTTTTAGTAATATGTGTATTTGATTCTTGTTTCTTTCGACTCTTTGATGGCATTATTACAGGTTAATATGATTTAAGAAGGAAAATTTCAGCAAAAATCACATCAGTGATAACGCATGAAATGTGTTAAGCTATCAAGATAAGCACCGTGGGCTATGACTTACGTAGCTTTAACACCACAAGTTTTCTTAGTCACGAGACGCATATGCTTTTAGATTTTTCAGCCATAAGGAGTCAACTTGGCAATCGAACATTATTTCCTGGCCTTGGGGTCAAATCCCACGATCAGTTTTATCCAAGGAAGGATTTGTCCTACATGAAATTAAGTTAATTAGATGACTTTTTCTTCCAACTGGACACAATTGTAGTACACAATGAATGCTTAGTGGTTAGTAGCCTTAAAAGGGTGGATTCTCATCCATGAAGAGTGGACCAATTTGTCATCAACATGGGATTTCAGAAACATCTGCAAGTTGAGACTGCCAACTAGCGGTGACAAGAAAATATTGCTCTCACTGCCAAATACAGCTACATGAAAATGTTGCACTTAACCACTGCCATATATGTAATTGATTCTTTTGATATGATAACTCTAGTACAACCTTCAGAGTGTGTCACATTGTTCTCTGTGGACTTACACTATATTTCATGGTGGAAGTATAGCAAAAAAGGGTGAGCGTGAGACAAAATAGAGGCAAAAGAAAAACAAAATAGCATCATGGTTATCATACATTTTACCTCATAAAATTGGATTGTAACGTCGTTTCTTCTGTGGTGTTGCATGCGCCTGTGCTTTTATCCCATATGTTTTCAATTGAAAATTTTCAAAAGCTTCTGAAATTGCCTGCACCTATAGGATTGCACAAAACAAGGTTAGTGAAGCCAACCTGAATGTGTAAAGCAAAGAAGTTCAAACAAGCATAGGATAAACTAACTAACCAGTTCTGGCTTTTTGGCGTACACCTTAACTATCATATCTTGGTAAGATGTAGGTAGCAAGTGGCTTACGCGGTCATCAGGTATTGTAAATTTCTCATTGCTTTCATAATCCTGAATACATTATTGAACCAGGAAACTCAATAGAAGTAGCATAATTCAATTCCAAGCTAAACATCATGATAAGGACCAAACCAAAACACTTTAAATGTTTCAATAATTTCCAACAATTGCAGCCCAGTATCCCAACAGAAATAATAAAAAACAGTTTAAACTAAAACTAATTAGAACAGAACCTGTCAAACTGAACAAGGTAAAACCAATTAAAATATATGATTAAAGAAATATTTTGATAAAAAGATTACCTTGAAAAAGTGGATACTGCCACAGAAACATGCACCAAAAAGAGAGAAAATAATATATTAGGACAACATATTAGGAAACTAAAACAAACTAAAGGTCTATTCAGCTAGCATGATTATTCTTCACTCAATACCTTTCCAGGGGATTATGCTTTCCGCGAGTCAAATCAATTTTTACATTACAAACAGCTACATCCTCCTCTTTCAGTGTAACTCCACCACTCTTCTGTCAAATGACATAAGAAACAAAATGGAATTCCTCAATGATGAGAAAAAAAATCAAAATTAGATGCCATTTGCAAATGATAAGGGTTAACCAGGTTAAAGACCTGAGAGCAAACAATATCTTGAGCAGTGACCTTCTTAAAATTGTCCAGCATATCTTTTGGTACAGGGTACTCATTACAAAACTACAAAACAAAATTCATCCTTAGATTCGAAAAAACTAAATACAAAATTTAATAAATACGAAATTGTTAATCACACAAGCATTTTAGACCAATGTAATGTAAATTTAGACACATCCACACAAGTTTACACGGAATTCGTGTCAAACAGCTTCAGAAAATACCACTACCTAATAGGTGATTGCAGCAGGTAATGATAACTATCACAGAAAAGCAACAGGTTAGAAACATGCCTGGTACAAATTCCTCCTTCGAATGCGCAGGATCAACTCCCTGGCCTCCTTTAGTTCTTGACTTGGACTTGTCTCAATAGTTTTAACTATTGTGTCATCCAGCTGCATTTTTTTAAGTAAACTACACTTTATTATTAAAAAGAGCATTGAATAAATGTTTTTAACACAAGCTCATTAGTAAGAAGCCCTTGTAACCTTCCAGTACTGAGAAGGATCATGTATGTTAGATGAAATCTCCAAAAAACTATTAGCGTGAACAAGTGCATCAACTATCATAAGCTCCATTGCCTGAAAACATCATGATGGGATTAGAAACTGTAAAAACAAGAACGGTAAGTTTATGGATATTAAATAGACGGGAAAAGGGGGTGAAAGGCAACGATCTACATCTACCTAAAATAAAATAATCTTCCTAACAAAAAAACTACATACCTTCACTTTTGGATGTGTATAAACCGTTCTATACAGATCAGCACGAGTGGAAAACATTTTGTGGATGGTAAGGTCTAGCAAATTGCACAGACAAGAGTAAGGAACTATTAGAAACACAATTGATATGAAAATCAGAAATGTATTATGAAAATATGTTGAGGAATGACACTAACAGTCCTTAGCACGATAACAAATTTCATCATCCAAAACCCACATTGTCTCCAATAACCTGTAGGTAAATTACAATTTAAGATGCTAGAAGTGATACATGGCCTTTATTTAAGTTTACTTTCCAGCTAAGAAGAATTATCAAACGATAAGAATTAAGTCATTTTGAAGAAATTCATGAAACCTTTGAAATTCAAAATTACATCCTAGACCACAAGCTCGACAGTCACGGGGAATATAATCAAATCTGCAAAGCAATAGTTTCCACAAAGTATTACAATATGGCATAACTCATGCTCAGATACTCAAAGAATACATGAAGGACAGTATGTAAAAAGGATCAATAAACCAGATTTGACAGCTAAATTTTCTGTTTACTTACTTGTCAACATCAATTCCATTTCGCCCATTTGCAACAATATCATACAAGAAACTTTTCTCACTTGAGCTCTAAATAACCAACAATTGGGAAAAAAATATAAAAGAAAAAGGATAAACAGGTAACAAATAACTTTGGTAAGAATAAACAAAATCATCCATCAAAACTTTTAATAATTAAGCCTAGAGAATAGAAAATATAAAATAGAATAAATTAAAAACCTTACCCTTGGAGGAGCAAATTCAGAGCTTGCCAGTATCATATCCTGCCAACATCAATCACTTACTTACGAGAATGAAGATGCAAACCTCTTTCTACTTTCCATTTATATGAGAGATGCAATATGCTTTTATACAGAATAAGTGAACAAATATTTGAGAACATAAACTTGCGTAATTGCTCTTTCAAATTAGTATATCCACACACATAAGTGGAGATGGGAAAATGGATGCTACACAGCCTTCTAAATATGTTTTGAAGATGTCTACGGCAGAGCTTGAACACACATTTCCTACTTATGGCTACTATTGAACATAGAAGGCAAATATTCTCAACAAGATGTACATTGGCTATCCGCACATTTAATACATTATACATATATATATATATATATATATATATATATATATATATATATATAGACACACACACACGTTTAGAAAAATTACAGTGCTTCTAAACTAGAAGAAAGTTGTTCCCAGGTCTACACTGCCTAATCACCCAATTTATCACTTACACTGACAACTTTGTTAATTTATATCAGACATAACGTTTATGATGGTTAAGGAAGTGATGCTCAAAATCTGAAGACACTTAATCTAATGCAGGAAAGGAAACAATGGTAAACCAGTAGCTTTACCTTGACCCTTTTTATCATCTGGGAGTCAACATCAATACGGTGTTCATCAACAATATAATCGACCATATTACAGACATTTGTTCTGAGACCTACAACATAAAAAATATTGACACACATTAAATGAATTATGGTTTAAAATGTTTTAAGAAAATCAGATAAAACATAATATCTTAACTAAGGAATTTAACTGACAAAAGAAAACTTTCTCTAAACTTAAGGCAAAAATAAGAGAACAAATGAAATACATTATATCATTAATGCAAAATTTTAAAAAACAAGGTAAAAATAAGATTACCAATCAGACCCATGATAACTTGGGGGAAGAACTCCCGTTCAACAAGTGACGAAAGGAAACCTGCCCCACATCATGCAGAAGTCCTCATAAAATAATATCCGCCTACAAATTTTAAGAAATTATATTGGATTCAAACCAACGGCAGTTCCCATGAAACAATGAGATACCTGCAGCTTCACTGTTTGAATATCAAATCTATCAATACCAAGCTCCGAGCCCTGCATGATCATAAGCACAGATTAACATCCTGTCAGAAAGACCGTACCTTTAAAATGATAAAATACTTCAATAAAATTTTATACCTGATAATTATTAAGCTTTTCCACACATTGACCAGCTAGCCAATACACGCCAAGAGAATGCTCAAATCTGGAATGCACAGCACCTGGATAAACCATGTGCGTAAAACCTGAAACATAAAAACAGATTGATTTATTGGAGAGATTAAACATACTGAATATTGAAAAGGGGATATCAAGCCATGTGAGCATCATGGCATGAAAGAGTTTGAAGCAGCATTTTAAAAATTAAATTTCACAACTACTGTATTCCTGTTACAGGTTACATGAAAATGATAGGAACCACCTTGTAACCAAAGAATAAACTTATTATCTTCTGAGACACCAAATGGATATTTACCACTATCCTCGATGTATTCTATTTCATTACAGGGGAAACTTTTTATCTATAGAAACTGATTTATTACAGCCAGTGGTTAGCAGGGAATCAAATAATGGACATCCTTGTGTTAGTTATGTCATAACATAAAATGCATCATAAAATATTCAAGTTTCCGCAAAAATTCAATTTTTCTTTCATCTCATCTATGCAACATATACATTTGTGTGACTTTCAACATACTATAAACTGGTATATAATAATTTCAAAATACCCACACACACACGCACTAACAGATTCACATGCTTAAGCAAAATTTGTGTAAAATAATCTTGCTTAAACACAAAAGCAGTTTAGCTATACCAATTGTCAAGCTATACTGTTGAACATAGTGTCATTCAATATCAGAACTAAGCCATACAGAAAGTATAAATGAACTTCCAAAACTCCAAAACCTCTTTTACTAAATACATGCATGATATTCTTTTCCTGCAAGTAAAACTCATTAAAAGTACTCAACATTTCATGACACACACATGAAATATGAGTATTGATGACCAATAAATGCATCTTCTTTCGGTATTATTTTAAATTGAACTTAAGACAAAGATCTTGGCATACTTCACAAAATACATTTGATACCCCAAAGCAGTAAAACAAACTTTCCCATGAAATTCTCAGCTAGCGGACAATCAAAATCCTCTTGCCTAAAAGGAGAAGCCAGGAGTCTAGCTTTAAAACAAAATAGCATAGCAGTCCAACTAAATATTTGATAGTTTTTCATGAACTAACCTGATTAAACTACAAAACAAACAAATTAAAATTATCACTAATCAAACAGGATGTCGGGAACGTTCAAAAATATATTCCAGTCATGGTTCTTAAAAATGGTCCAACACTGCAAATTTGGCCACAATTTCGAGGTCTTTTTTGACTCACCAGGACCACAACCGTGACTGCATTAGCCATATTTGCCTGCAATGTCCTGAAAAGTAAAGGATCACAACGAAACCATGACCACAACATCCCTTGAAAATCTTGGTCCCACTCTAACCTAATTTTCTACATAACTTCCAAGCAGTGAGGTCTTTCATGCTACGTATCCCACCATTGACACAACAATTCAAGAATCTAAAAGCAAAACAATTATTTGTGAGTTCACAAGGAAAATAAAATGCATTAAAGGCCCTTCCTAGAATAAGAAGCATGCAAGTGTATTTAATTTCAATTTCAGGAAGCTTCTAATTTCTAAACAACTCTCTTATAATTGGATTCAAGAAACGATTATCAACTCACCTAGTTGTTTCAACTCGCGAAGCCTCTGAAACTGCTCAGTATCTATGAACTTCAAACTAAGCTGCAAAACCGAACAAAACGAAAAAAAAATAAATCAGATTAATTAATAATAATAATAATATGCTTCAGTTTCTTCGTAGCTACAGGAGAAATAAGATCAGAGAACGAAACGATTCAATGTTCGTTGGAAATTACGGGATCGAGAAAATGTTGCCATGGACGTTGTCGTGAACGGCTTGCAGAACCTGGGATTTTGCCTAAAACGGTTCCGTAGGAAGGTGGCAACGAAACGCTCGACGTGAGTATGCCCCCATATCTTCCTTCCTTTCTTCCTCCGTTATCAACTCCACACTATCAATTCACCTTCTCTCTGTCTTTAGAATCTCAACTTTCAAATTTAAATTAATGTTTACCACTATTTATACTGTAAAAAATAATGAATATATTTAAAATAAAAACAATTGTTAAATAATTATATTATTACCAAACATCATTTTTCATAAAATAAATATTTGTTTTTATCTCACTAACCGCATTTTTATTTGTGTACCACTAATTTATTTGATACTTACAAATAAAAAAAATTAGTTCTAACCTTCAGGAACAATTTTTCCTGACACCTTATTTAAATTGAAATAATTGTTCGCACGTGTCATAAAAAAAGCATGGTTGTTACACTCTGTAAACAAAAAACGCATGATCGTTACACAATTTGTTATTAAAATTTAACACGGTGCTTGAACGTGAAGAATAGGTTGCACGTGCTTGTTGAGGCTAATATTTTAGTATTTAACAAAAGAAAAAGAAAAGGAAACACTAGTCAAAGAGTAAATTGTAGAAAATCTACTTCACTCTTTATCTGATTATACAGTAATCACTCTTTTGTTTGCTCAAATAGATAGAATTAAAAGTGTGACCTTAACTTATTAGATTTAATTCAAAATCTTATTGTTCCATTATTATTTTATATTTGTTTGGATTTTATGAATAAATTTGCTCATGTATTTCATTATATTTTTTTAATTTTATATTCCTTACCTAGAACATGCAAGAATTTAAAAACTCAATATCAATCATTTACACAACTAGGCTACACTAATCACGAAATGATAGAATGATAGATTCAATGAAAGGTATTTAAGAAAAACATAAGAAAATATCTGAAACTACACGTACAAAAGAAGACATCTTGCAACATTTACGCCCACTTTAGAATCGTAATGGCATCCAATTAGAATCCAAAAGTTGTGCAGATCATGACAGTCAACCATTAAAAAGTAAATTTATTGAAAATTTCACTGACTATAAATAACATCAATTCATAATTTGATGTAAATCTTAAGTATATACTCAGACGTGAGAGAGTATCTTGAAAGTATAAATAAGGTAATCTCTAACCAAATTTGATTTTTGAATTAAAGTCATGCAGGAAAGAATTCAACATGTGATACTATTGCTGTTTCACTATGAACTTCACAAATCAATCTGAAGAATAAAACCTATTTACAGAAACTAAAGTACTCTTAAAACTAGACTGAATTGAATCGAGAAAAATCAAAGGAAGTTGCAGAATGGTAAAAAGATAAGCAAGGAACATAAATCTGGGCAAGAAGCATAAACGTATAACCAAAAATTCAAAATAAACAAGAATTAAAGGCTACAAAACATTAAATTGCAGAACTAAAATTAGATTGATAGCAAAAATGGAATTTTATTGAATTCAACAGTATGGATACAGGAAGAATTAATCCAGTGCCGGTCTGACGGTCACTTTGTACTCACAAGACCTCTCTCGCAATTCTCACACTGTACAATAGTAATGCACCTTCCCCAAATGGCTACTTTGGGCTCACTACGTTGAAAATTTGAATCTCACAAATTTCCCTCTGGAACTCCTCTAGAGCTCTGTGCATTTCTGGTTTAATGATGCAAATGGGTCCAAGGGCTTAATTGCAAAATCAGCTAAGGGCCCAGGGGCTTTTCTGCAAGAATGAAAAAGAGAGAAAAGGATTGAAATCCAAATTTATAAAAGAAAAAGGCTATCTAAGAAAATCTGACTTTATTATATTCTTTAAATTTTTTTAAAGAACACAAAAATTATTATCTACCTTAAAACACTACTAAAAACAGCTTTTTAAGGAATTTTTCAGAAAACTCTAATTTTTATACAAAAAAAATCTAACCTAATTCTAGAAATTTACAAATTAAAAGAAACTAAAAAAATATTATGAAAGAAAAAGGAGACACCGGACCAAGAAAACAGAAAAAATAGACTCAAAATGGCAAAGAGAAACTCTATTTACACTGCACTCCACATACTTAATTTATTTCATAACTTGGTCTTTCGTTTAAGAGCTTTGTCGTATTTGAGGACTTTAGGTTATCGTCTAGGTAATTTGATGCCTCATTTGAGAACTTTAGGTCATTGTCTAGGTAACTTGGTGATTCAATTGAGGGTTTTAGGTTACCTTCTAGGTAGCTCGATGTCTCGTTTGAGAGCTTTAAATTACCATCTAGGTAACTTGATGCCTCATTTGAGGGCTTTAGATTACCATCTAGGTAACTCAAGTGTGATGCTTGCGAGATTTTACTACTGTCTAAGTAACTTGAGTATCGTGTTTGCATGCTTTAGCTTATGTTACATTTTAAGTAATCTAAATGTCGTGTTTGTAGGCATGACTTAGTACCTTTTGGTGTTTTCTTTTGAGGTTTTGTACTGACGAATAAAAACATATGTGTAAAAGAGAAGAGAATTTTTATTTGAAAAATAAAGTGTGTTTTGTTAAAAGGTTAACCGCCAAAAATCCAACTTAGAGACAAAATTCAAGCCAAGGAAAAAGAATACACACATCTCATACCTTAAGTGTAATACATCTTTAACCTTAACTATCTTTAAATGGATTGCATTCCTTATCCTCAAGATAACCTTTCCTTTAAACTCTTTTAGCTTGTAGGCTACATTCTAGAGGAGTCCGAATGCAATTCAATCCCAATTATGTGCAAGCTTTCTTTCTACTTAACTTTTATAAGTTGTGATGGATATTAGGATAATATGAAAAGCTATGACTCACACGGCAGTATAAAAATATATAGTGTCTATCTCTTCTTTTTTTTCCCTACTATCTCATCAATATATAAATATATAATTCTTTAATGACAAAGAAAAAATTGATTATTCTTATTATTATAATGATAAGTATAATATACGAGTCTTCTATAAACTTTATCTCTAATCAATGTAAACTATTATATTGACTATTACATATAATTTTATAATTTAAACAATCTAATTCTAACTTATTATTTTCCATTATTTTTGCTCTCTTGTTATACTTTATTGACCATGCGCATTTTACATAAATTTGAATTACGAGAGTAAAGGAAACGAGGTTCTTGTGATTAGAACTATTTCCAAAGAATTATACTTCAATTTCCATTGAATTTCATGTTGAGCACTGACATGATTTTAAAAGTTTAGGACTGAAAATTTTGGTTATACTTTGATAAAATTTGAAAAAATTTACAGGAAGGTTAAATTTGATATTTTTAGTAGTAGTGACTTTGGCGACTATGATATAAAATGTTTTTATAAATTTAATTTGAGAAAACTGAGTAAAATAAATGAAAATTTAAATATTCTAGGTAAAAAACTTAACAATTGGACCACATTTATTTAATTTAACTTGAGAGGGAAAAGAAAAAGACCAAAATTACAGAGTTCAAATTAAATGACTAAAAGTGTGATTAAACATTTCGCTGAAGATTCAATGCAACTGATATCAGCATATTTTCTGTTTGGTGGTACTAACACAGTAGATATTCATAATATGTAAAATAAAACAATTTAAAGTGATATAGTTTTTCAAAAATATATAAAGCTTTCAATGATTTTATACACATTTGAAAGATGCTCTTAGTTATCACGTATGCTTCTATGTTTCTCAAATTGGTATCACTTGTAAAGTGAGGAAATCAGTTAAATGTCCTTGTACATTATGAAATAAACATCTTCCAAACTTAGCTAAATAATTGATACAATAACTAGCTAGGCTCTTCATTTCAGAAGGTGAGTAGAAGGAAAGAACTAACACTAGATCAGAACACTTCAAGAGTTTAAAAAACAAAACACCCTTTACAGACATCATTTACTGCTACTTTCACCATCTATTCTGCTGACAGTAACTACATGAAATTTCTGTTTTCAAAAATTCATGACCCCAACATTCAATATGGATCTCAAAAATAAGAGAATGTGATCTATGATGACTGTCAATTTTTCTGTGAGTAAACCAAAAGGCTAAATCAACTTAGTTTCTGAAATATAATGTCATATTGTAAAGTGGAAATTTCAGGCTTTTCACCACATTGTTAAGTCTCACTATTTTGTTGAAAGAACTGAAGGTCTTTCATTTGTATGTCAACAGCTTCTTTGTTCTGAAACAAAATCATCATCAACACCAGCCGCTACTTTCTCTGACTCGTCTTTCACAGGGCGCTTGATCACATCACGATGAACTGTTGGAAATTCATATGATACTTAAATAATTTATAACAAACAAAATGAGAAACATTAACTGATAACTTCTTAATGATTTGCATTAAACACTATCATCTTAAATCAAGTAAAATACTAATTCTGATTCCATAAAGTTACCAGAATTAATAATTACCTCAAAAGAGATACCAACAGTAAATTTTGGTTCTTTTGCAATGAATTTCTTTAAATTGACCATTGTTCATAGAATTTAAAATCCAAAAGAATGAACAGTAGAAGCAAATAAAAAAAATTTCCCATAATATCATCCACCTAAAATGATTTATGATAAACAGGTTTCATCGGTAAATAGAAAATATACTCACATTGATTACAAATTAATGCATCTCATAGACAGAAATTCTTCGATATACCTTTCCTAAATACTCATACTATAAAAAGGTAATTTCATATTACAAATGTGAAGCTTGAATTCCGAAAACAACACAATTTTGAAACTTCAGAGTGTTTCATAAACAATTCTGGACAAAACCGATTATGTGTGGCAAACTTTCATTTCGTGAAGAAAAGCAGATTGATTTGACAAGCATGTCCACATTCTTGCAATTACTAAAAGAAAGGCAAACAAAAAGAAACAATCCTTAACTATTCAAATGAAAGTGTACAAGTATCCGAGCTCTTCATGCACGAGGATAATTCTCTTTTCATATGAAGTTTTTCTCCAAAAGTAAAATGGGATTCACTGTCAATGTAGATTTTCATGATCCGTAGATATTTTGCATTCCCCATAATATAACTTGCAAATTGAATCTCATCTATAGAACCACTGTAATATTTAAGAGAACAGGTTTTAAGGTGTGATGAAATGCAAGCAGGAACAGATTGTGGGTATGGCCAAACTACTTCTTCATGGCCGGCCAAAAATGTATCAAAACTGCTCTGATAACAACAATAAAAAGAATTAAATTAACACTAATGTTTGAAGAAAAGATAAAAAAAAATCATAATTGAAAAGCTTAAATCATTAAACCTTATAAATGCAAACGAGAAGGGTTTGAAGCTTGGGACAATGCTCAAGCACTTCCAAGACCCCAAGCCAATCCTTGCTAAGCTGCAAAATCAATTCAAGTCGAACTAAATTCTGAAAGTCAAAATCTAGGATTTGTTGATATTTCTGCAAGAGATACAAAATGATATCAGAACATAAGAAATCCCCTTTTTTTCCCTTCGAAATGGAAAGTGATATCAAACAAATATCATAGCATTACCGAATCCAAGAACAAAACTTCAACATCCTTAACAACTTCCAATGGAAGTAAATCTTCATGGATGCTGGCTCTAACCAACTTGGGCAATCTGATAAACTTCCCTTTAGTTGTAGAAATGAAACCTTTGACTTCCAAGTCCTCAAGATTAGGACACCCAGAGAGAAGCTTTGAAAGATCTAGACCTTCGGGTGAAGAAATATTATTCAAATGCAAGATCTTAAGCAAGGGCAAGTCAACAGAGAAAGTATTTTCCACTTGTATGAAAGTCAACTTGAGAACTACAAGAGTTTTGCAGCTAAACACCACAGAAGGCATGACAAAGCCCCAATCCAAATAGAGGTCGAGGTGTCGAACGCTTCCACTCACTGCAGCCGTAATCCATCTCTGGATACTTACAGGATGACCATAGGTAGAGTCAGATCTGAGGCGAAATCTATGGAGGGGTTCGTCTCTATCACGCGAAAGCAAGAAAGAGTCCACGGAGTGAAGAAAATGAGAGTAGGCCTCGTTGTTTCTGTCATAATCAAAGAGGTCTCCGTCATAGTGGAAATCGAAAAAGGGAAGCGAGCGCCACAGGAATTTCCAGCGCTTGGAGAGAACACTGGTTGCGACAACATGTTTGGTCGGAAGAAAAGATAGGATGTGACAAAGGATTTCGTCTGGAAAACTACTGATAATATCATCGGCCATGATTAAGAGTATCAAAAGAGAACACAGCTGCTTCGGTTTCTTACAGAAATAACTCACTGCCTACCATGTCAAAACGTTTGAGAAGAATTTGTTTTTGCTATTTGAATTGACGTGGATGCCATGAGAACCTAAGCATTGGGAAGTGAAAGGAAAAACTGTCACGTGAGGTCATCAGTTATTGGGTCCCACAGGACAGCCTTTTCCCAACAATCAAAAATACCCAGAGAAGGCAAAAAATAGAAAGTCTAACTCCGGTCCGAATATAAAAGTGGGTCGGGGCAGCTTTTTTTTTTTTTTTTTNGTGTAAAAGAGAAGAGAATTTTTATTTGAAAAATAAAGTGTGTTTTGTTAAAAGGTTAACCGCCAAAAATCCAACTTAGAGACAAAATTCAAGCCAAGGAAAAAGAATACACACATCTCATACCTTAAGTGTAATACATCTTTAACCTTAACTATCTTTAAATGGATTGCATTCCTTATCCTCAAGATAACCTTTCCTTTAAACTCTTTTAGCTTGTAGGCTACATTCTAGAGGAGTCCGAATGCAATTCAATCCCAATTATGTGCAAGCTTTCTTTCTACTTAACTTTTATAAGTTGTGATGGATATTAGGATAATATGAAAAGCTATGACTCACACGGCAGTATAAAAATATATAGTGTCTATCTCTTCTTTTTTTTCCCTACTATCTCATCAATATATAAATATATAATTCTTTAATGACAAAGAAAAAATTGATTATTCTTATTATTATAATGATAAGTATAATATACGAGTCTTCTATAAACTTTATCTCTAATCAATGTAAACTATTATATTGACTATTACATATAATTTTATAATTTAAACAATCTAATTCTAACTTATTATTTTCCATTATTTTTGCTCTCTTGTTATACTTTATTGACCATGCGCATTTTACATAAATTTGAATTACGAGAGTAAAGGAAACGAGGTTCTTGTGATTAGAACTATTTCCAAAGAATTATACTTCAATTTCCATTGAATTTCATGTTGAGCACTGACATGATTTTAAAAGTTTAGGACTGAAAATTTTGGTTATACTTTGATAAAATTTGAAAAAATTTACAGGAAGGTTAAATTTGATATTTTTAGTAGTAGTGACTTTGGCGACTATGATATAAAATGTTTTTATAAATTTAATTTGAGAAAACTGAGTAAAATAAATGAAAATTTAAATATTCTAGGTAAAAAACTTAACAATTGGACCACATTTATTTAATTTAACTTGAGAGGGAAAAGAAAAAGACCAAAATTACAGAGTTCAAATTAAATGACTAAAAGTGTGATTAAACATTTCGCTGAAGATTCAATGCAACTGATATCAGCATATTTTCTGTTTGGTGGTACTAACACAGTAGATATTCATAATATGTAAAATAAAACAATTTAAAGTGATATAGTTTTTCAAAAATATATAAAGCTTTCAATGATTTTATACACATTTGAAAGATGCTCTTAGTTATCACGTATGCTTCTATGTTTCTCAAATTGGTATCACTTGTAAAGTGAGGAAATCAGTTAAATGTCCTTGTACATTATGAAATAAACATCTTCCAAACTTAGCTAAATAATTGATACAATAACTAGCTAGGCTCTTCATTTCAGAAGGTGAGTAGAAGGAAAGAACTAACACTAGATCAGAACACTTCAAGAGTTTAAAAAACAAAACACCCTTTACAGACATCATTTACTGCTACTTTCACCATCTATTCTGCTGACAGTAACTACATGAAATTTCTGTTTTCAAAAAATCATGACCCCAACATTCAATATGGATCTCAAAAATAAGAGAATGTGATCTATGATGACTGTCAATTTTTCTGTGAGTAAACCAAAAGGCTAAATCAACTTAGTTTCTGAAATATAATGTCATATTGTAAAGTGGAAATTTCAGGCTTTTCACCACATTGTTAAGTCTCACTATTTTGTTGAAAGAACTGAAGGTCTTTCATTTGTATGTCAACAGCTTCTTTGTTCTGAAACAAAATCATCATCAACACCAGCCGCTACTTTCTCTGACTCGTCTTTCACAGGGCGCTTGATCACATCACGATGAACTGTTGGAAATTCATATGATACTTAAATAATTTATAACAAACAAAATGAGAAACATTAACTGATAACTTCTTAATGATTTGCATTAAACACTATCATCTTAAATCAAGTAAAATACTAATTCTGATTCCATAAAGTTACCAGAATTAATAATTACCTCAAAAGAGATACCAACAGTAAATTTTGGTTCTTTTGCAATGAATTTCTTTAAATTGACCATTGTTCATAGAATTTAAAATCCAAAAGAATGAACAGTAGAAGCAAATAAAAAAAATTTCCCATAATATCATCCACCTAAAATGATTTATGATAAACAGGTTTCATCGGTAAATAGAAAATATACTCACATTGATTACAAATTAATGCATCTCATAGACAGAAATTCTTCGATATACCTTTCCTAAATACTCATACTATAAAAAGGTAATTTCATATTACAAATGTGAAGCTTGAATTCCGAAAACAACACAATTTTGAAACTTCAGAGTGTTTCATAAACAATTCTGGACAAAACCGATTATGTGTGGCAAACTTTCATTTAGTGAAGAAAAGCAGATTGATTTGACAAGCATGACCACATTCTTGCAATTACTAAAAGAAAGGCAAACAAAAAGAAACAATCCTTAACTATTCAAATGAAAGTGTACAAGTATCCGAGCTCTTCATGCACGAGGATAATTCTCTTTTCATATGAAGTTTTTCTCCAAAAGTAAAATGGGATTCACTGTCAATGTAGATTTTCATGATCCGTAGATATTTTGCATTCCCCATAATATAACTTGCAAATTGAATCTCATCTATAGAACCACTGTAATATTTAAGAGAACAGGTTTTAAGGTGTGATGAAATGCAAGCAGGAACAGATTGTGGGTATGGCCAAACTACTTCTTCATGGCCGGCCAAAAATGTATCAAAACTGCTCTGATAACAACAATAAAAAGAATTAAATTAACACTAATGTTTGAAGAAAANCAATCCCAATTATGTGCAAGCTTTCTTTCTACTTAACTTTTATAAGTTGTGATGGATATTAGGATAATATGAAAAGCTATGACTCACACGGCAGTATAAAAATATATAGTGTCTATCTCTTCTTTTTTTTCCCTACTATCTCATCAATATATAAATATATAATTCTTTAATGACAAAGAAAAAATTGATTATTCTTATTATTATAATGATAAGTATAATATACGAGTCTTCTATAAACTTTATCTCTAATCAATGTAAACTATTATATTGACTATTACATATAATTTTATAATTTAAACAATCTAATTCTAACTTATTATTTTCCATTATTTTTGCTCTCTTGTTATACTTTATTGACCATGCGCATTTTACATAAATTTGAATTACGAGAGTAAAGGAAACGAGGTTCTTGTGATTAGAACTATTTCCAAAGAATTATACTTCAATTTCCATTGAATTTCATGTTGAGCACTGACATGATTTTAAAAGTTTAGGACTGAAAATTTTGGTTATACTTTGATAAAATTTGAAAAAATTTACAGGAAGGTTAAATTTGATATTTTTAGTAGTAGTGACTTTGGCGACTATGATATAAAATGTTTTTATAAATTTAATTTGAGAAAACTGAGTAAAATAAATGAAAATTTAAATATTCTAGGTAAAAAACTTAACAATTGGACCACATTTATTTAATTTAACTTGAGAGGGAAAAGAAAAAGACCAAAATTACAGAGTTCAAATTAAATGACTAAAAGTGTGATTAAACATTTCGCTGAAGATTCAATGCAACTGATATCAGCATATTTTCTGTTTGGTGGTACTAACACAGTAGATATTCATAATATGTAAAATAAAACAATTTAAAGTGATATAGTTTTTCAAAAATATATAAAGCTTTCAATGATTTTATACACATTTGAAAGATGCTCTTAGTTATCACGTATGCTTCTATGTTTCTCAAATTGGTATCACTTGTAAAGTGAGGAAATCAGTTAAATGTCCTTGTACATTATGAAATAAACATCTTCCAAACTTAGCTAAATAATTGATACAATAACTAGCTAGGCTCTTCATTTCAGAAGGTGAGTAGAAGGAAAGAACTAACACTAGATCAGAACACTTCAAGAGTTTAAAAAACAAAACACCCTTTACAGACATCATTTACTGCTACTTTCACCATCTATTCTGCTGACAGTAACTACATGAAATTTCTGTTTTCAAAAATTCATGACCCCAACATTCAATATGGATCTCAAAAATAAGAGAATGTGATCTATGATGACTGTCAATTTTTCTGTGAGTAAACCAAAAGGCTAAATCAACTTAGTTTCTGAAATATAATGTCATATTGTAAAGTGGAAATTTCAGGCTTTTCACCACATTGTTAAGTCTCACTATTTTGTTGAAAGAACTGAAGGTCTTTCATTTGTATGTCAACAGCTTCTTTGTTCTGAAACAAAATCATCATCAACACCAGCCGCTACTTTCTCTGACTCGTCTTTCACAGGGCGCTTGATCACATCACGATGAACTGTTGGAAATTCATATGATACTTAAATAATTTATAACAAACAAAATGAGAAACATTAACTGATAACTTCTTAATGATTTGCATTAAACACTATCATCTTAAATCAAGTAAAATACTAATTCTGATTCCATAAAGTTACCAGAATTAATAATTACCTCAAAAGAGATACCAACAGTAAATTTTGGTTCTTTTGCAATGAATTTCTTTAAATTGACCATTGTTCATAGAATTTAAAATCCAAAAGAATGAACAGTAGAAGCAAATAAAAAAAATTTCCCATAATATCATCCACCTAAAATGATTTATGATAAACAGGTTTCATCGGTAAATAGAAAATATACTCACATTGATTACAAATTAATGCATCTCATAGACAGAAATTCTTCGATATACCTTTCCTAAATACTCATACTATAAAAAGGTAATTTCATATTACAAATGTGAAGCTTGAATTCCGAAAACAACACAATTTTGAAACTTCAGAGTGTTTCATAAACAATTCTGGACAAAACCGATTATGTGTGGCAAACTTTCATTTCGTGAAGAAAAGCAGATTGATTTGACAAGCATGTCCACATTCTTGCAATTACTAAAAGAAAGGCAAACAAAAAGAAACAATCCTTAACTATTCAAATGAAAGTGTACAAGTATCCGAGCTCTTCATGCACGAGGATAATTCTCTTTTCATATGAAGTTTTTCTCCAAAAGTAAAATGGGATTCACTGTCAATGTAGATTTTCATGATCCGTAGATATTTTGCATTCCCCATAATATAACTTGCAAATTGAATCTCATCTATAGAACCACTGTAATATTTAAGAGAACAGGTTTTAAGGTGTGATGAAATGCAAGCAGGAACAGATTGTGGGTATGGCCAAACTACTTCTTCATGGCCGGCCAAAAATGTATCAAAACTGCTCTGATAACAACAATAAAAAGAATTAAATTAACACTAATGTTTGAAGAAAAGATAAAAAAAAATCATAATTGAAAAGCTTAAATCATTAAACCTTATAAATGCAAACGAGAAGGGTTTGAAGCTTGGGACAATGCTCAAGCACTTCCAAGACCCCAAGCCAATCCTTGCTAAGCTGCAAAATCAATTCAAGTCGAACTAAATTCTGAAAGTCAAAATCTAGGATTTGTTGATATTTCTGCAAGAGATACAAAATGATATCAGAACATAAGAAATCCCCTTTTTTTCCCTTCGAAATGGAAAGTGATATCAAACAAATATCATAGCATTACCGAATCCAAGAACAAAACTTCAACATCCTTAACAACTTCCAATGGAAGTAAATCTTCATGGATGCTGGCTCTAACCAACTTGGGCAATCTGATAAACTTCCCTTTAGTTGTAGAAATGAAACCTTTGACTTCCAAGTCCTCAAGATTAGGACACCCAGAGAGAAGCTTTGAAAGATCTAGACCTTCGGGTGAAGAAATATTATTCAAATGCAAGATCTTAAGCAAGGGCAAGTCAACAGAGAAAGTATTTTCCACTTGTATGAAAGTCAACTTGAGAACTACAAGAGTTTTGCAGCTAAACACCACAGAAGGCATGACAAAGCCCCAATCCAAATAGAGGTCGAGGTGTCGAACGCTTCCACTCACTGCAGCCGTAATCCATCTCTGGATACTTACAGGATGACCATAGGTAGAGTCAGATCTGAGGCGAAATCTATGGAGGGGTTCGTCTCTATCACGCGAAAGCAAGAAAGAGTCCACGGAGTGAAGAAAATGAGAGTAGGCCTCGTTGTTTCTGTCATAATCAAAGAGGTCTCCGTCATAGTGGAAATCGAAAAAGGGAAGCGAGCGCCACAGGAATTTCCAGCGCTTGGAGAGAACACTGGTTGCGACAACATGTTTGGTCGGAAGAAAAGATAGGATGTGACAAAGGATTTCGTCTGGAAAACTACTGATAATATCATCGGCCATGATTAAGAGTATCAAAAGAGAACACAGCTGCTTCGGTTTCTTACAGAAATAACTCACTGCCTACCATGTCAAAACGTTTGAGAAGAATTTGTTTTTGCTATTTGAATTGACGTGGATGCCATGAGAACCTAAGCATTGGGAAGTGAAAGGAAAAACTGTCACGTGAGGTCATCAGTTATTGGGTCCCACAGGACAGCCTTTTCCCAACAATCAAAAATACCCAGAGAAGGCAAAAAATAGAAAGTCTAACTCCGGTCCGAATATAAAAGTGGGTCGGGGCAGCTTTTTTTTTTTTTTTTT